AACTATTACTTTTTCTGGAGTTTTGGTGGGTTGGGACCATGAGTTGAAGCAAATACCCTTCCTGCAGCTGTCTTCTCTTGTATACAGCAGGCTTACATTGAATATTTTCAATACTGCTATTAATGTTCAGAAAAAAAAATTAAACTATGATAATGGATGGTTTTAGACCAGATGTAAAAGTTGTGGATATCAGGGACAGACACTTCCATTAAAAAGTTTGGGTCCAGAATGGCTCCTTACCATCTTGTGAAAGCAGCTCTCTCAGCAGATTGTTTCTCCCTTTTGCTTTACTTGGAAGCAGGTTGCTCACTTTTTGCTGTGCTTCAGATGCAGTCCCTTCTGTGTGCTGACAAAGCTGAGAGAAGGAGTGGGAAGCAAGTTGTGATTGGAGTACTGCCAGAAGCAGAATTCAATGTGGAAACATCTCCTTACTATATTCTCATATGTACCCCAAAAAAATCAAATCTGTCTTGTGGATAGCCTCCCTCCTTTTGAGGGGATGGAACTCTATGGTTTATAATATCCCTTCCAACCCAAACCATTCCATGGCATCCTAAATATTTTGTCTGAGAAAACCTTAGTGAGTAAACCCAGTGTTTTGCATGGAGGAACATTCCAGATGGATCCCAGGAGATGGACTGAAGAGTTCCTGGGAAACCAGGATTAACAGAGTTTTCTCCAGGGCAGATGCAGGAGAAGGAGCAGGACTGAACTGCTGACAGTTGGTGATCCCAAAAATTGCTGTGCTGGATTTTTTTGGAACTGCTTGTCAGTGATGGGATAGCAGGGATGACCTTAGCAGTGCCTTTGGCTGGGCTAAGGACATCTGAAATTCTCATGCCATTGCTCCTTAGGACTTGGCAAACACGACTCATGATCCAGCTAAAGGTGTTTTTCCTTCAAGAGGAAGTTTTTGTTGCCTCCTCACCTCATCCCTCCAAGCCTGCAGGTTGCCATTTCAGAAATAAGAATGCAGCTTTGGGGAAAATCGGGGAATATAAGGAAGAACTTGCTATAAAATAATGGTGTTTATATGGGGCATTGCCCAGACGAAGCTAACAGGGGCCAGGTCTGACTGGCTGTTTTAGGCTAGACTGCTTAAAATCCAGAATTTTTGATCACTAACATAGACCCAGTCCTTTTCCTTTATTTTGGCAGCGATTGACTTCTCCCTTGCAGGAAGGCTTGGGGCCACCTTCCTCTATATCAAAGTGTAAAATAACTTTTTTTTTAAAGGAGAAAGTAGCTATTTAGAATGAATCTAGCTATCTATTTACAATTCATCTATTTATTAGCATTTTATTGTTAGTGTTTAGAATTTGCCTATCTACAATTTATCTATTCGTATCTACTATCTCCTAGTATTTGGAACTTACCTATTTAGAATTATCTATAGAATCTCTCTATTTTGGATTTATTTATTTATTTATAGAATTAGTATGTAGTTTACCATACTTAACTGAGATTACTTTATAAAAATAGATGATAGCTGTCAAGGGTCATTAAGAACCAGATGTAACTGGGCTCAGCTAACGAGGGGCTCTCCAGAGCTCGGGCTGTTCCTGCTCCTCTAATGAAACAGGCAGGTGCTATTCTCAGAGCTGGCAGCTGACTGCTGCTAGGAAAGAAGTTGCTGGTAGCCAAGGTTGGCAATTGGTGACTGAATTGTCAGGGGCTCAGTGGAAAAGAAAAGCAACAGGGGTGCGTACCCAGATAAACCCAGGTATTTATGAATATTTTTTTCTGAATGATTTTTGTGTCCTAATTTGATAGCAATGCTTTCTGTTGTCTAACTCCATCTGGTGCAAGTATAACAGGCATTATATTTAAATCAGAATTTGCAGTTGTTGAACTTTATGTTTTTCTTCGTGGAAAAAAGACTTGGATTTTCCTTAAAACTTGAAAACGACACATTTAGCTAGTACAGGGTGCAAGTTTTTAGCTCAGTTCAGCACTATCAGTATTTGTTTGACAGTGGGAGGACATTTGAGCTGGCTGCAACACCCACTAAGAGGAGGATTCATTTTCAGCTAAATAAAGGTCCCAAATACTTGACCTTGGACATATACTACCGACAGAACAGATATTGTGAGTAGAGGAAGAAAAAAGAGTAACAAATCCACTTAATTTTCTTTATTCTTTTCTTTTAACTTTAGATATACTCTTTTGGCTATGGGAAAATGGTCTAGGAAATGCATATCTTTCTTTCCAAACTAAATAATAAATACATTTTTAGAGTTGCAAATTGTTTCTGGTTAGAACTTTTATTTGGAAAGACATACTACTCACAGTATTTATTTCTTAAAACTGAAAGAAGAATCACAATAGCAATTGCAAGAATTAGACTAGCTGGAGAAGGATGGCTTAACCTGTAGGTGTAGAGTTAATTTTGTTTGCAGTTCATTTTGGTCATGGCTTTGGAGAGGTAACTAATAATACAAATTCTAATTTCTAGACCACAGTCTAGTGATAAAACAATATGATTTTGATAAAGTGGAGGAGGATATTTAAAAATTCATCTTGTGTTTTCCCTTAGGTATTACATAAGCAAGAGTTATGGTTGGCAGGGGGATGTGAGATGATGAACACACTGATAATCTGTACAGCACAATGCAGGTTTTTAAAATCTGACCTCCTGGTTCAGGTTGATTGCATAAGTAACTATTTTTTCTATGAAGCTGTATGGATAGCATCTCAAGAAGTAAATTATTTGGCACAGAGATACAGCAAATAGGTTCTATCAAGGAACTGCAATGTGGCTTAATTGCTTTCAAGTCCTGGCAAAGATTTACTGCTCTAGCAGATCCCTAACTTGGGTTCTGAGACTAACAGGATTTAGTGATAGGAGAAAAGTGTGCTGGATATCTTAACTTTCCTGCATCTTTGTGGAAGGGCAAGAATCCTTTAAGTGATTGTCATGGACTGAACATTGCTGACTGAATGTTCATTGTCCACCTGCGTGGAGGTGAGGTTGGAAAATTTTCCTTACATAATGCTTGAAAGATGGTGGTCATCTGAAATCCTCTACCAGTTTTAGCTGTCCATGTAGCCATCTCATTTCCTTCTGATATGGGAGGGTTCTAGGGAGGCTGTATACTAATTTCAGTGATTCAGATTAAGATGTAGCTGGAGATAAGTTTTGGTAGCTGCTTTTAAAGATGCTTCCTAGTCCTTTTCTATATTACTCTGCATGTGCTATTCTATGTGATTTTATTTGTTTATTTGCTGGGGTTTTTATAATTGTGGGTTGAACAAGATCTTCATCCTGCTGAAGGAGTGGTGGCTTGCTCACCTGCTGAGTGAGGCAAAATTCGAGAGGATCAATGAGTTTATGTGTATCCTGAGGCAAGTTTGATGAAAACATGGGACACTTCCTTCTCAGAAACACAGCAGAGAGCCCAGAACTGCCCCCCTCCTTTTCACCCGTGCGGGCATAATCAGGGAAATCCATTACACCTGTAGTCAGAATGCCAGAGAGTGTTGCTGACACATCTTGTCCTGTGAAGCTGTGACTGTCAGCTACACTTCAATTCTCAAAATTTTAACTGTTATCTGTATTCCAAAGATAAACTGCCTGTAAATGGAAAACTTTGTCTCAGTGTAAACTTTAGGAGTAATGCCTGGTTAAACTCTTGCAACTAGAAGCTGGTTGAGTAAGCAGTGCATCCAAACACCTTGATGTTTTTCACAAGGCCTTTGCCTTTTGGACTTTTATTTGGCAGCTATGACAAAAGAGCCAGCATGATTGCCTGTTTAAAAATGCTCTAAACCCAAGATTTGCTAACCCTACTCTCCTCCCAAAACCGTAACATTATTCCAGCCAATGTAAGTTCTGCAGGTGCCTAAATCCCCAAATACAAGCTGTTAAAGAAGTTGTGTCTGCAGAGCTCCCCTGGAAATGCTGCAGCATTCCTTGCTGTGCCCGGGTGGTGCAGACAAAGTCACTGGGTGGGCAGCTCATGCTGCCTGTGAGGAGTCACACGTAGCATAGCCCTGCTTGTCCTGCCCATGGTGCTGAAGCTGCAGTGCGGGCACAAGGGAGGCTGTAGGGAGGCTGCTCCTTCTCTCTCAGTTTTGCCATGACCATCCTGCCCTCCTTCCTGCCCCATGAAAATAGAGGAGACAGGGAGAGGCCATAGGGACTAGGTCAAACTTCACACACAGTCCCTGTGACTGCTGACTCAGCAGCTGTCACTGCTGCCTTCAAGCTCTCCCCATCTTTTGGCTTTGGCTGACAGGCTCTTAGCAGCTCTTGCTCCCATCTCCCCCTGTCCCTGGCACTGCTGCCAGGGTACCTTCAGCTCTTCCAATTTGTTGCTGCTACCTGAGTCATGCCTCTGGAATGGAAGGCAGCTAAGGCACTATCCTCAAGATCCTAATCTGGATTGTCCTACTGGTTTTCTTCTCAAGGGTCCCCCCACCTCTGGCCTCCTGGCTGCCCCCGTCTCAGGCCTAGGGAATTGCATGACTGTAGGTTTTGTACAAGGACATCATCCCTCTGACCCTGCCTGTTCAGATGCAGGATGGAATTTCTAAAAGGTTGCTGTGCCCAGCAGTTCCCTGATGGCACAGCATGTGCCATGAGATTTGTGAAAGGATGCTCACACTACCTCAGATTTTACATGGAGCTTCTGCCCTGCATTCAAAATACAGGGATGATTAATTTCATTTTACTGCAGAGGATGCAAAGGTGGGGTATGGAAACTATCCCTCTCTTCCCTTCTTGGAAAAGTTCTGCCAGTGGTAGTAACAGATAAAAAGCTGCTGACTTGTAAAAAAATGTTTCTGGTGATACCAAGTCAGGATTTTTAATAAGAGACCAGAGGCTATAAGGAAAGAGGCCATTTCTTGAGATGTGTTTTAATTCTGGTGGAAGAGAATGCAGATCTAAACTCTCCCACATTTTCATTACAATTCCTCAGGGACAGAAGATGGCACAGTTTCTGCTCTGTATAAAAGAAAACAAAGGGGAACAATGATTATATTGCACATTAGGGGAGTTGCATGATTTGCTCTCTTTTATTAATGAATAGATTTAGGACAGCTGAGACCTCACAGGAGCAGGGTCACAACATCATCTTTAACCCATCCTGCCACATATCTGAGGAAGTTTCTGAAATTGTGGCTGTACAAATTTACACAATGCTGAGAGGTGCTGTAATGTGCTCAGTACAGGGGAAAAACTTTCAGAAGATTTTTTTTTTTTTTTTTTTGTAGTGAGGGTGGTGAAACTGGGACAGGTTGCCCAGAAAGGTGGTAGATTCCCCATCCCTGGAAACAAGGTCAGTTTGGATGGGGCTCTGAGCAGCCTGGTCTAGTTGAGGATGTCTCTGCTCATTGCAGGCAGGCTGTGGACTATCAGCTTGCGAAAACTATCTGTTGTTACAAACATAAGAAAATTTATCTCAGACATACAATGCAAAAATATGAAGAAGAAACACTTTGCCTGAATTGGGTGAATAAAAGCATTTTTACTGATGAAAAATATATGTATGAAAAACTTGTGGGAAATTACGTAGCATATGAGTAAGATCCTTCAAAGTACAGCTGAGACTGAAATGTCTTTGAAAAGGCAACAAACACACACTCTTTACAGAGCATTTACACCTTCAATTTTACAAAATAGCCATGTTTCCTAAATGCTGCTCTGAAATGCCTGATTAAAAAGAACGGTGAACCACAGTATCCCATCAGCAGCAGTTTATCACATCCAATTTAGATCTCGTTATAACAGGAGTGTGAGACAATAAAGAACAGTGTAAGAGCAGTAAAAGGAGCTTGTAGTTGATAATTGATACAATATATATTCCATAATACCAAAATGAAGATAAAAGTTTTAAATTAAATCAAACAGTTCCATAAATGAGTAATAAACACATCTACGATAGCACATGCGTGTGTGCTCTTCTGTCCAGTTGCCTCCTGGAAGGAATGGAGTGACTTGAGACTGCAATTTACAGGATTTTCTGTAGAATGGAGTTTGCAACTTCCAGGGATTCATCTTTCACCAAGACAATATCATAAGAGTCCATGTATTTTTCCAACAGCTCATCCACCTAATTGCACAAGGGATAAAGAGAAAGACTCCTTTAGTTAGAGAATTATTTATTGAAAGAGTTTTTTGTCATTATACTATTGCCCAGTCTTTCCACCAAATTCTGGGAATAAGCCATGCAAATAATGTATTACTCCTACAAGTGAATTCCACAGAAGGACAGAGTAGTAGTGGCCTGACCTAAAGTGCATTCCAGGATATAATACCTCATGTTTATTCCAGGATCTCACACACAGAGATACTGAAAGCAGAACTACTTCTGGAAGGGCAGGGAGAAATATAAAGCTGACATTTTTCTCTCTCATCAATGCAAATGGATATTCATTATAACTTAGCAAATAATCAGTTGAGTGTCACTTAAAAATCCCAAGAAGTAAAAATAAAAGAGGATAGACTGCCTGGACTTGTTATTTGTGAGATTATAATTTTTCCCAATTATCAATTTAGTACTAAAAGGAGGAGAAGCCACAGGAATTTAAGAGAACTAATTTTTATAGCCTCTGAATTTTACTTCTCTAGGAAACACCATTTGGAAGTATTTCTGTACAAAAATCAAGGCAATATATACTTGTGGCTCTGAGCTACGAGTTAGAAAAAAAACCCTTGAAAAATGTTTGAAATGTCGACCCAAATAGGTTAAACACTTGGTTTGATATCTGAACTGCATTATAACAAACTCCCAGTGCTTCATTCAAACCTCACAAGGTTATGTAAGGCTACTTACTTTATCATTGAGATAGCCAATCTTAAGAATGTGCTCAACATTTGCTACTCCATCTGCCATACTCAAGTCTCCTTGAGAATCACCCAGCAGTATGATATTGCTGTTGTCTTTTAGCTGTTTGAAGTACTCTGTGTTCTTCAAGGCACCATCATGTTTGTTGTAAACATGAATCAATTCTCCTTTAAATCCTTTTAATATTCCCTATTGAAAAAAGCAACACTGAAGTTATTTCTGGTACCATTCAAGCAGGACAGAATCTAGAATGAAAGAGGTAATGTTACTGTTGAGCCAAGACTGAACTACATAATCTGTCATGATGGACAAGATTAATTAGTTTAGAGTAATGTAATGGCTGTGACAACATAGTTAAGAGCAGGCAGACAGTGATTTTTCCTGCTTGAAAGAGTGTACAGATCTATCTCTATATACCTCTCTATATATATCTATCTATATATATTTTGTAGTGTGTATAAATAGATACTAAATACCATAGACAATGTGGTATTTATCAAACATGTTTGATAAGAATCTGTTATCTCATACATACATTTTCATCAAAATCCATGAAATTGGAAACCACTTTGACATTAGAATGGTAGACCCCAGCCTGGTGGATTACTTCTTCAAGAATGTCACCAATCCCAGCAGAAAATATGAACACAGGAATATTATGTTCACTGAGTTTATCAAAGAAGTTCTCATACCCTTCTCTGCAACACAGAATGAAAATACAAATCAAATCTCAAAGAAAGAAAGCCAAGAAATGTCTCAGTTTTTAGGAGACAATCACATAATCTTTGGAAAATAATTAATATTTCCTGAGCACTTTACTGCATTTCTTTTACTTCACCTTTTCAGGTCAGCAAGAAGCATCAACCTAACACAAGGCATGTTTGCAAGAAACATCTGCATCAAGCTGTTTAGTCTTGGTCTGTATAATTTTTCCCCCCAAAACATCTAATCATGTTTTAAGGATTTAAAAACACTTCCCCTCCCTAAGTACTCCAGAACAAGCAAGCAACTAGCAGAACTCACTGACCTACTATCAGGCTGTAAATCTCCTTTCAATCTTCCTCACTTAAATATGTGACATTCTATAGTCATTACTAAAAAACAAATTCTGTTTTTAAATCTTGAAAACATTTATTGTTGCTTTCTCCTGAAAGTTTTTTAGTATTCAGTACCCCATGTATAGCGTTCCAGGAACAAGATATTATCATCTCTAATGCTTTCTTCATACAGAGATAGATTGGTAGAATTTTACATTTTAAAAAAGTATTGTGAAAGTTCTGGAAAAAGTTTTAGCTTGTGGATGAAGATTCAGTCAACATGGACTTAGACTTTCAAACAGGCAGAGATTGGGTGCTTGTCTGTTGTACAAAAAATAAGGATTCAGTGAGTGTTATAAACAAATACTTTCACAATTTAAGTTCTAACATCCTGTTTCAGTATTCCAAAATTTACAGTTTTAGAGGGCTTTCAAAGAGATGAAACCCACAGCACATTTTGAACAAGGATTTTAAACTTGTGTTCAGTCACAGAGGAAGAACAATATTTAATACAACACAGGAAACATGTTCTTCAAGTGCTTCTCAAAGGAATTAAGTTACACTTTACACTGCTCTTAAAAAAAAGGATCACCAGTGCAATTTAAAGAAGATGAAAGTCTGCAGAAATTAAGCTTGTAGAGAAGGAACTAAAAAAAGTTCCAGATCTCTGCTTTATACAGTGAGATTATTGTCTACATTTAGATATAGCATACCAATTAAGTGGGAGCTCAATGTGGTCCAAGGTTAAGGTGTCTCATTCTCATAAAAATGTGTGGGTTTCTTAATTTCTCTTTTCTTTTTTTTCCTCCCCCCAACACTCAGGAAGAATCTACAGAAAATGCTTCGAACCATTGATATAATTCAAATCAAAAAGAACTTACTTCAGCATAACATCAGATTCCCTTACAATTTCTGCAAACTTGTCCTTCTGTAAGCCTTGTTCAATGAGTAGTGCATGAGATTTATGGTACCTAGAACATAAATAAAAAAAATGGGTTGAATGTTGTTTACTAGGGTTCCCCTTTCATTAATTTTCATTATGAAAAGCATCCTGTATGGTTAATTCTTACTTATTCAGGTTAAGAGCAAAACAAAACCAGTTGTACAAAAATTTAAGAGAATAATTCAGTTACTGTGACAGCTAAAAGCTAAGTACTGCCATTAATTTGCTTTTAAAAACTTGCTAACTCTAATATGAATAATCTGAAAATAGGAGGTGTCTCTTACCATTCTACCATATATGGGTATTTCTCTTCAATGGTGAGAGCTGGATCAATTTCAATGGCATAGTAAGTTTCTTTCAGCTGCAATAACTGAAGGGAAGAAAAAACCCATCAGATGTTTAATGTTTTTCATAAAATACATTGGTGTTTGGTCTCAGCAATCAAAATAAAATTCTTGTCATGGAATAATGACAGATGTCTGTACAACAAACCAAATGCTTGTAGGTTTTTTGTTTACCTTTTTCCGACATTCATCTGTGATGATCTTAGAGTTATCAATGATGTCTGGGAAAGAGGTGAAAAAAAAGACAGTTAAACAAGATAATGCATTTCTTCTACTTTTCTCTACAACACTGTAAATGGCACAGACGACAATGTCTGGTGACATAGCAATATGCTTCCTCAGAACTTTTCTTACCAGCAACCAGCAAAAAGCACATTTTTCTTCCTAAGTATAAAGATGCCCTTTCATTAATCTCTGATTTTGCAGATATTGATCTGTTACAAGTTTTTGTATCTTTTTCTTGAGATTTAATTATTTTCAAAATCACTATGAGGCATCCTATATGTTTTACATCTCATACTTCTCCTTGTTTGTTCCAAAATACTATGGCATATGGATAAAATTGCCAAGAATTCTAAGGAGTTTACAGTCTGGTTCTTGCAGGTGTCAGGACTATGATGGGCTCTTGAAAAACAAAAGTCAACCATACCATATTTAGCCATTAACATTTGAGAGTTCAAAACTTAACGCTTTAATTGTGAATGGCAACTTATCTGATTTAATTCACACCGATTTTAATATGTATATACACACACACATAAAAACAGTCACTAGAATACTTTGTCAGTAGAATGTACAGATTAGGTAACAAGTCAATATAAATCTCATTAGGAAATAAATTGAATAGAAAATTAAAATATAGGAAAAACTAAAAGGAGCGAACAAATCAATCTGTATTAAAAAAAAAAAGTACTCACTATGACAAGTTGGACATCTTTTTCCATTGTAGGAAAATCTACTTAATGTCATATCAAAATCTGTAATAATCTATTTAAGGAAAGAAAAAGCAAAACTGTCTTACAACATGGAGGAACAAAATAAAGAATGGCTAGAAATTCTGAATGATCAACAATAGCTGCAGCTGAGTAGCATGTGTGTCACAGAAGCCTCCCTATTCTATTGAGCCATTGTCATGGAAGCTAGCATATCCCAGAATAGTAACGTTTTTTCTAACAAAACTGTTTTTCTCATTCCTTAGCTGAGAATATTTTCTGAAATTACTAAGCTTGTATGCGTAAGTAGTTTACTTAACTAGTGTCTGGCTGAATTACAGTTGAATCAACAAGGACTATTAAAAGAGTTAACATGTCTAAGTTTTGGAGATTTTTGTAGGTTGAATTCTATTACGTATATATAAATATACTTAAATTTTTTGGCATAGAGTAACAATCCTACAGTTGCTTTTATTCCAAACTCTCTGCACCTTTACCTGAAGTTTGGCAGCTCCACCTTTGATGAGACCACAAATAATCTCCTCTACTCTTGCTGGGTCCTTAATGTGGACAGTCTTCTTCTGAAATTCTGGCATCTATGAAGAGTAAGAACAAACACATAAATACAGTTGCAGAGAAAAAACTCCTAGGCAATAGCTGCCATCCATCAGCGTGAATTGGAAGCTCTGCATCTACCAACAGTTTCATGTGCCATCAAGACATGGTCAGGACAGAAAGCAAGAATAAGAAGAAGCAAAAGGTACTCTGGATGTATTGATCAATTGCATACGGTTCCGTTTGCTTACAGTATCTGCTTAAATTTCCTTTCCTGATATCACTTTATTCAATAAGCTGACACTCACAGAAAAGGTCATTATATTTGTAGGAAAAAAGGGATAGGATATGTAGGAACAGGACATTGTGATTCAGATATAGCACTAGGAGATGGTAAATCTTAAAACTAACTCTCTTTGCTATTAATATGCCCTTAAAGTATCAACAGAGTTAAAGAAGACGTCCACTGTTTCCTTGAGAATGCTGAATGAGTGTCAACTTAGTACTTCAATACAACAAGGCTGTGCAGTAATTCCTCCTTCCTAGCCAGTCCATCAGTTGTTACCATTACCTATTTCACTGCACACTTTTGAAATAACATGATATCACACTGTATATTCCTTTTGGATTAAGTATATTTCTTGAATATTATGATAAATGAATTTGGTGTAAAACAAGAAAAAACGCCCAAAACCCACAAAACCCCATTCTTCCCCAAACAATTCCCCAAGCCTTTGTTTACTCTAAGAGTTTATCTTCAAACTTGCAGAACAGTAGAAGAACTATTTATTTACAGGAATTTCCCAATGTAGAATGTTTTTTTTCTTTTATAATTATGTATAGACCCATTCTAAAAAACAGACATTGGACATTTGCAATCTGGCTAAACAGGCAGTAGTAAGCTTTATTTTTTTTTATGAGTAGTAAGCTTTATTTTCTGTTTATAAAACTTCAGAGATTATAAAGTGTTAGGAATTACATTTTTAACATTCTGATCCTTCAGCTTTCCTTTTCTTACAGCTAGTAATCTGTGCTGCAATGAGCTAATTAAAAAACAACAAAAAAAAAAGGTGTGTGTGGGAGTTTCTATTTCATGAAGTTTCTGGACCCAGAGTTCTCATATTGTCAGTAAGTCATGCAGAACTCTTTCTTGCAGCTCTTGATGCTAGTAAGTATTTTCTTCATTAGTAACAGCTAGCTTGAAGTCAAATTGCAATTTGGTTATCACATAAGAAACAGGTGCCATTTTAAAGTATTGCAAGCATATGTTTTTGTAAGGGAAAAGATGCTTGTGTGCCAGACACAAGGAGGATCTAGACATACCTTGAAATATCAGCTCCAGTCCACTCTGTTCTCAGGTGGGAGCAAAACATTACAGCTACATTCTATCAGATGAGCAGAAGCTCATCTAACTCATTCTTCAAGACTCCCACTCACATATTCCTCAACTACCTGTATGTTTAGAAAAGTTTGCTAATCTTCCTTACTATAATTTTAAGTCATTCAGCTAGGAGAAAAGTGTTCTTTTTCTCAGACGCTCACTGGATACATTTTTCCCTTCTGCCTGAATGTAAAATGCTAGTATTCTTCAATCTTCTTTTGCAGAACACAATTTTCTAAATCTCTGGTAATTCTTGATGTTGTCTTGGCCCACCCACTTGAAGCACATTGTTTTTCCAACACAGCATCCATGACTGTGGGTAAAACCTTTCTGCTCTGCTCTGACAAGGCCTTGGCTGAAGGGCCACTTTGGCCCTTGTCTTCAGATAGCATCTTTGCATGTACATTAAAACACGTGCCCTGTGTAAGCAGTAATATGGTGAGAACGACTCAGAAACAGTTGGTAGTGACCAAATATTCTTCTAAATTACTCCTAGAAAGAAACAGGTATTTGTGCAAAGTGCTAAATTTTACATTTAATCTTTCGGGATTGCTTCTTTTCTTCCATGTCAGTGCTCCTATCTTTCAGTAAAACAAGTAATTCTAAATCCCCACTGTGCTTACTGCTGCTTTCTGGCTGATATCCTCCAAGACACTGCTGAAAACCAAAAACAGAAATCTTTCTAGAACCCTAATCATGAGTCTCTTATAAATTTCCAAGTTTTTCTCCTTATTCAAAAAAGCTTCACCTATACCACAGTATCTTGTCAAAAATTCTGTCCTGAACAGGGTATTCACTACTTCTTTGCTTTATAAATCTCATAAAGAAACAAACTCTATTAATTCCACTTCAATTGGAAGAATTAAGGTTTTCATTTCTGATCCTTTGGCAAAGACATTTTCTGTTAAAGTGGTATCTCCTAAGCCAATATCTCTGAGTTCCTTGTGTTGTTGCAGTGCCTTGCTAATACTTATTTTAGCACAGCAAAGACAAAAAAAAGTACATCAGAATTGACTTCCAGCTCCCAGCTATTTCCCAGGCTCGGAGTAATTGAGAAAGCTAATGAGTGTTGACAAGAAATAGAATTCCTGAAAAATATCCATAAAAGAATTCACTAAATTGAGATGTAGCTTTACAAAGCATTTCTTTATTCACAATTAACAGCACATCTAGCTTCACAAAATAAAATATGTATCTGTTATATCTATAACTCTTTAAAGGTGCTTTATGGTATTTTTTTGTATGTTATATGGTGCTGGTAAACAAAAGTAAGCTTTCCACTTTTTTCTGCATTTACAATATTCTTTATAATGAACCACAAAGCACTTTGACTTGGTAATTTTTGTACTGTAAATTGACTTGGTTTGGTAATTTTTGTACTGTAAATTGACTAATCTAATTCCTTTAACTTTCAGCAAATTATATATGTATTTTTAGATTTAGAATGCAAACATTAAACAGTGAAATCTGAATGCATACTTTTTAAAGAAATAGTTCAAGCATTATTTGGTTTACTTAGATACTAAGCAACAGATTTCCTAATATAATTAATTTAAACAGATGCTGAGGTAGATGGAGAGATCAAAGAAAGGGACTGGATGAGGAAAATTGGATTGTTTGGTACTGTTTTATTTCAGACTGAGTCCTTTTGTAAGTTTCTGAAACAACCTGAGGAAAAATCTTGGTAGTAGATTATGTCAAACAAGAAATTGCTAAAGATTTTAAGTATGATGAAAGCTTCCTGCTTTGATGTTGTAAACTCATACTCAAGATCAGTTAATAAGATTACTTTATTTCTAACACACTTTTCATTTTTTCACACAAATTGGTTGAAGAGTATTTTAATTTAGGGGTGGGAGAAAGTCTTCTGCAGCAAGTATAACCCAGACATTTTCAGTCTCACAGGCACTCTCAGAGGAAAAAACAAGTCTACATTACAGTTGTGACATCTGATAAAGCCTCAGACAAATACGGTTAGACAAAATAGCCACTTTTCCTAGTGGCTAGTCACTAGGAAAACTAGTCACTACTTCCTTATATTAGTATTTGCACCTGAACATTAAGTAGTAATCATTTTATTTATTCTTTATCATTATTGTAGTAGAAGCAAATGAAACTGTCTAAGGACTGGGTAAATGAAACTGAAACTGCAGCCACCTATTTTCTGGCAAACTGTTTCCTCCAATGCTTCTGCCCAGTTCAGTTGTTGTTTCATTGTTGCATATTTGCTGTTCTTCACAATTGAAAGAGAAAAGCAAATTCTATTTGGAAAAAACTGATAAGACAGATGAAAGAGCAAAGGGTGAAAAGTTCAGTCAATTTGACAAAATTAGTGTTTCTATTTACTGTTTAAGAAAATTCTAGCAGTCAACTCAGGGTGCACATAAACCTCCCAAAATTCTCATGCACCAGTTGACTGGGATGAGCACAGATAGAGAAGCAGCCAACCAAAAACCTCCACAGCCCTTAACCAAGTCAAGAAAGCTTTTCAGAGTCAAGAGCTTCCACATACAGAACTAAAACTACATAAGCACAGGAAAAGGAATTCAAAATTCATTGTGACATCTGAAAGTATATAATGATAAATCCCTTAAGTGTCCCTATTTAAAAGTGTGAGAAGAGTTTTGCTTTCTTACCAAGAGCATCTATATGCTACTGAATAGCTCAGAGGCTGGTGTGTCTTAAAATGTATGTACGACAACTCCCAAAGGTAATTTGTGGTTGGTCTACACACTGGCCACAAGTACATTTTAGTTTCTAGTCTCTGACATTTCTAAGGAGCCTTTGAGAAAAGGAAGAACAAACCTGAAAAAGATTATTTTAAAGGTTGAGCTTAGTTGGATTTATGAAAAGGAAAAAAATGATCTTGCTTGTTTGTGATAGCAGGTAACTGGAATAAGGATGTTGGAAATTATTTTGTAGTTAAGAATGTTATGGTCATACCTTGAGGAATGAACAGTAATGGATTCACGCAGGTTTGGAAATCCCCCAGTCCTACAAACCACAGAATGGGTCATTTACAACAAGGATAGTTCTCAAAATTACAAATCTATTTAGTACATGAGACATGCATCTGTGTAGTTGGGTTAAATAAAGAGAAGTATTTGCTGTGTTTAATTCTAGTTTTGAAATAAAGTTTCTTATATACAACTGGATAACAGAAATGCAAAAGAACTGCTTTTATGCATCCAGGTGCTGCTTAGTACATAAGTTGTCTTCTTAGTATGTGAGGCAGTGTGTATCTAAGTGCATGCTGTGTCAATTTGATTATAAAACAGGAGCTGGTGATAAGACCTGTCATTCATTTTAGTGATCTATGTAAATTTACAACTACCATTGTAGATATTTCCAATTAGGTGTCCCAGGAAATTAAAAACTGATTGTGTCCACAAGGTGTAATGTCATGTTCTGGAGCTAGGATTATACTGAATCTTTCAGTCTACTGAGTGTTGGAGGTACAGCAGTTACTTTCCTCCCCCTACCCAGTAAAACAAGTCCTGATGATTAACACAAAAATTAAAAAAAAAAAAAAAAATCAAACAAAAAACTCCATATAAAGGACAACCGAGTGACCTTTTGTTTTACTGTCAATAATTTTAAGTAGGGAAGGATGAGTTGATGAATTACTTGCTATCTTAACTACATAGAGATATGGCTCATTTCACAATCCTAGACACAGAGCCTGAAATATTACTAGTACTAACTCCACCGGTAGGAGGTTGTCATCATAAGTCTGCTAAGTAATGCTTTGACGAAGGCCCTAAAAAAATGGTGCAGAGTATTTTTATACTCATACCCTGTAAGCCTACACTACTTGGCAAATACCAAGTTTTCGTGTTTTATAAAGACTCATCTAGTATGGAAGCCTTCCAAAAACCAAACCATTGCTAAAAAAACACATTGGATTATGGGTGGACAAAATTTTAACAGAACTTCTCTATAAATCTCAATGATTGACGTTGTACTTTGTTAGATGTCAGTAATTCTGAATCACAGTAAGAACTGTTCTCACACTTGTAAATGTATTAAAAATACTCCACAAAATTTCAGATTACCATAATGTCATGAAAGGGACAGGGCAATAAATAAGATCTAAATAAAGACCTAGCTGTAATGATATTGACAGTATGTAAATTTAAAGTATAACACAATTTCTATTTCCTACTTTCTTGGTAAAACTGTCTTAGACTGCAGGTTTCAAACCTGTTATCTTTTCATAGAGAGAACACACAAGGCTGGGCTGGTAGGGAGAGCTATCCATATTATTTCTGAGCAAGGCAAACAAAAATCAAAGTCATAAATTGGATAGGGGAAAATGATTTGTAAATTTTATTCTAATCTACAGTGACAGCTTACAGGTACAAGAGTATGAACCAAGACTAAATGACATTTATTTTCGGAACTGCAGATGCCCAGTTTCAAGGTCTTACACTAGCTATCACATATATTCACTTATGGGCATGAACCAAAAAAGGCAGGGCATGGCAGCAGTGATAGCTGTGAAATTTGATACCCAGAAGCTACAGAAAACTGGTTTTGGTGTTCCTGGTGAAAAAAAGTAACAGTTTAGTAAAAATATAAAGAAATGGGGCACATTCCTTAATTTACATGTTATTTTCCAATCTTTTTTTTCCTTTTTTTTTTTTGCTATTATTACAGAACATGACTTGCTCTAGAAAACAAAGCTAACAAAAAACTTTTTGAAAAGCATGCAAGCTTCTCCATGTAATTTTAGCTGCTTGCAACATTTGAGTTGCAAGAAATGGAGGAGATATAACAAAATCCACAGAATGACACTGTGGGGACTTTTCCTCCATATACTTATCCTCATACATGTGTAAAGCAAGACTGCCTGTAATTCAGACAATTTGAATTCTGGCCCATGACTGAAACAGAGGCTCTTCTTAGCTGTTCCAGCTGTTAGTAGGCTTATATTTTAGACAGGAACATCAAGAGGTATTGGACATAAGTGTAATCACATCAGTCACATCATTATGTGCAGGTAGTCAGGAGAACTTCACTAGTTATGGGGCACTCTTCTAGCATAATGTGAGCTCAGGACAGAGACTCACTAATTTATAATTCCCAAAACCATAACACATTTTATATTCAGATGATGCAAGCTCAAATGTGGCAAGAAATCCTTAGTAACTAGTAATTACCAAATTACTATTTTAGTAGTTCTGCCAAGAAATAGCCTTAGGACTACTTAGCTAAAAATTAGTTATTATGGGAATGAAACAACAGAACACTAAGTATCTTCACAGTTGCTTCATAACTGTGAAGATACCCCAACAACACTGTGAAACTAGATACCCAGCACACGTTATATGAAATAACTGAAAATGGGTTCACTGCCTAAGCTATTTTAAGACATGGAATAGGATGCACATGAAAATAATTTTTCCTGGTTTACTTTGTTTATTTATTTACATATTTTTATACTTAATGTGCCGGATTTTGATACTTAATTTGAAAAAAAAAAAAACCCTCATAAAAATTTGCAGAGAGCGCTTTCACAGAAAACATGACAACAGCATTTCCTCTTGTGCTTCTAAAGGAGAGTACCTGTGCGTTGAGCTTAGGGCACTCCTGATTCTTCTGTCCTTGATTTTGTCCTACTGCAACAGCATAGGTGGCAAGCAGAGTCCAGAGATGCAGGGCTTGCATACAGGCTGCCAACAAAAACCAACCAAATCCTTTTAAGAATTGGTCTGCTATATTATGTGGTCTTTCTATTCCTGCTGTATAAAATAAAAGCCAACATGCATGGTACATATCGACATCACTGTGAAAATACCACGACTTCAGAATAGTCTGACGCATAGTTAAAAGTAGAGGAACATTTAAGCTGAATTAACCTATTCAATGAAAACCACTAAGTATATTTATTCCTTTGATGCTGTTGCTCATTCTGTGCTATCAAAATTTTAATTTAAAAATACAGTTTTTTAGGATTTTTTACAGTCACAATTAACAACTGTAAGTAAGCCCTCAGTTCGTAACCTTGGCTTAAAAACACAGGCAAGAAGACAGTCAATACTGCTGACAGAAGCTGCGCACACTTACCAGAGGGTTTTGCAGGAGCAGCTGCAGAAGCAAAAGAAAATTCCTCTTGCTTGAGACACACTAATATAGCAGCACAGGGTGCAGTTGAGGGCGTTTCCAAATACAGCCTGACTAATCCCCGTGCAAAACCCCAGGGTCCTGTGACGCATGTCAGCAATGCACAGCAGTTTGTTATGCTCAGCAGTACAGCCTGATGGGCTTACAGATCATCAGCTGGTTCACCAACAACAAAACCTTTGACCTTCACTGAATGAACAGCTTTCATGGATGCAGCAAGCAAATTTGGGTTGCTCTAACAGAGGAAGGCAGTTGTTCAAAGCAGAAGTTTACTACTTCGTTAATTTTTAGCCCTTTTACAAAATCTTTCCAAATATTTTAAGATTTCCTGTTGCACAGTGCCACAAATTTCTTAGAGCTTCATTTACATGATTTCATTAATATTTATTCCTGTAGGAGCAAATGAATTGTTTTGGCTGTAATTATCTGCGTGATACTGAAACAGGAAATCAAGGAGCCTTGTTTGTCAGGATTTTTGAGAGACAAGGCAACTCCACATAGTTTTAGAAGTTTGTCATTAGGCATGCTGCATGATTAAAGACCATATCTAGGTGACAGAAGATGGCGTAAAAAGGAATGTTTTTTAGAGTGAGGGGATGAAGGAACTATTGTCAAATTGTATTTTACATTTTGATGTTCTGTAAATGCTAGTGTCACACAAAGCTGACTATTGCTATAGCAGCAGTGCAAGCTTCTCTATTACTACCCCGTAACTCATGTTCAAACTCAGGTTTATGATCCCTGTTTCAGGATGCCAGGACTAACCACCAACATCAGGCCAATTCATACACGGCCACTAATGTGACCAGTGTAATTGTCAGAGCTGAAGCAAGGGCAGATTACAAGTGTAGTATGTACAAAACCTGTAACACTATAAAAACCCCCTAACAATAGCAGGACTTTAGAAATTCATTAGCTATGAAAATTTCCTTTGAAAGGACAGTATGCTTTTTACACTAAAAAAAACAAAAACCCAACAGACTTTCTGAATGATACAGTAGATCTGTATGTTTTGTGTCTACATTCCAACTGTAGGCTACTACGTAGTCTATCAGGATTCCTCTGTGTATCTGACCTACATGTGCACTTTCATTTTGTTTTCAGAGGTGTTCTTTCTTTTAAGCCAACAAAACAACCGAAGTGAATACTTGAGCTAATACAAAACATGTAACTTTAATCAACACTTATCCTCTCAGAATTGACCAAGATCCCCTGAAATGTACATGTTAAAGTCTGCTGCATCCTGAAGTAGCGGAAGTTTGAAATATATATTCAAAATATAACATAATCCCTGCAAAGACTGTATACAGTAAATTGAACTTACCTGGCATTGGTATTGCCAGGATTCATAGCTACCACTAAACTACTTCGTACACTGTTGTAACCGGTAACATTCAGAGAGTTTTACCCTTCATAGTATTTTAATATAGGCAGCATACTTTCCATTAATATTTTTATAATAATGTTTGGGAAACATATGTATATAGCGCAGTGTCTTGAATAAATATGAATTATTTGCACAACAAAAAGCTGAAGCTTATGTCCCTGCTAGACTTCCAACGTTAAAAAACATATGTTACAAACAATGAAGTAAAATACAATTGCTAGCTGAATCATGTAATTCCGGTAAGACATCACTTGATAGATTCAGTTTGCAAAGAATCTGCCTTTGAGCTGTCAAGAATCTAAAGAAAGCTAGTTTCCCTTTCAGAAAGCTGGGGAAACAAAAAACAAGGTGGTGTTTTAAAAAATTATTTTATTAATTTCTTTTTAAGATTAAAAAAAAAGGGTTACAGAAATTAAGTTCATCTCTTGTAGACTGTTTTTGGTATACCAGACTAATTGGAAAGCATTCTAAATGAACGATTACAGTTTTAGTGAAAGCCCTAGAAAATGGTGTGAGCAAAATTTCTGTAAACATTAATACAGCCAACACCTAATTCTTAGAAAAACATCTACTCTATCTTTATCAACAGTGCACTTTCACTCTAATGAAATGCCATACATGAAACTTCTCATCTACAAAACAAGACTGTCTTTGCAAATCTAAGAAATCTTTGTGTACAACACTTTAAATACCACAGCTCCTACTAACCACATTCTATTACTGCTGGTTTCAGCCTGTTGACCATTTTGTTTACCATGTTTAATGTCTGGTAAAAGAGGAGTTAAAATGAACACTGATTTTTTTTTTACAGAGAGAGAAATAAACTGCAGCATGACATTTCTACTCTTGAAATATGGAAGGTCATTTCAATATATTTTAAGAACCACAACTGAAGAGGTGTAGTTATTTCAACAGATAGATTCTATTTTAACATTTTCTCTTTGGCTAAGGGCCATATCTTGACTACAGAATATTCTATGCAGAAAAAGAACACTACTGGAAACACTAGATGATTTATAATTTATATAAGACTGGGAAAAGGTTCAACTTTATATGCTGGTGTGTTAGGTGAACTTGGTTTCTAGAGGATGCTCTTGAATATGAAGCACTGCAAGTTTTAGTCTAAAGCACAGAAAAGCTGGTTCTACCAGTCCTTCCACACCCATGACCTAAGTTGCATCCATTTGTGAAAAGAATTAGCACAGGTGTATTGCCTATGCAAGTAAGCTGAGCTTTTTCTTTAACTAATAAATCGAATACTTCAACTAAACTGACATAAACTTTTAAAGATCAAGAAAGAGGTCATAGCTTCTTAGAATATTTCCTACAAAATTTAGAGGTGATTGAATCCTATGTAAGGTGATTGAATCTGCAGTGTAAATATTAGCTAGTGTCTCTTCATGACCTTAGTAGCTTTTATGCCTGTTTAGTGACCCTACCACTACTGAACAACTTTTTAATATATCCCCATATATTTAGTACATTGCTCGACTTCACTTGAGCAGTACCTTGCTTTATTGTAGGGATCAATTTTTAACACTCAAGAACTGTATTTCCTGCCTAATTTTGCTTTTGTAATAAGTTTACTTAGTACATATTTTCCAAAACTTGATATACCTCATGAGACAGGGAAAGGTACCTGAACCTTGGTACTCAAGTACCAAGACCAAGCAGAAGAAAGGAACCAATACAACCCTACTGTACTCAAACATGGTTATTATTCATGCCCTAGTGAACTGAGTTAATGAGCAGCATAATGGTTTCAGGAATAGCTTTTTATATCTATGACAATTACAAGGAAAGTAAGATCGATGGTCAGTTTGATGAAGCTGGGGTTCATAAAGGTTTAGAAGGTTGCAGGAATTTTGGATACCACTTGTCTTTGAAGTACAGGTCTGGTGTAAAAAGCCATGCCAGACATATTTACAGCTGGTATGATGCAAAAAACTATGATTTGTATATGAAAGTGTGTGCCTGTCATAGAGATCACTTGTGAGGGGGGTAAGCAATTCTAAAGAGCTTGAACAGCACACGTTATGAAAAAGTGCTGAGAACATATTGAAGACTGAATTCAACAAATTGTGATAAATCCAGAGATGGTACATGCTAAGAAGATGAGGCTCTTAACCTGAATGGTATCACAAGACATACTCAACAACTTTTTTAATAGAGATTTTCTTGATCTGATCAGAGATCCAGCTTTCTTTACAGTTCATGGGAAAACTGGTGATAGTCTGATCATTTATGGCCGTACTGAACACAAAGGTTAATGTCGACACACACACTAAAACAACTCCTTAAACATTTCTTCTCCTGTTTAATACATTTCTCTGGTGAGAGAATAAAAGATATTGCAGCATTGTTCCTTACGCAGCTTCTTGTGCTTACAAAATCATTCTAAAAGAAGAGATTTCTGTTGGTGACAGATCAACAGACATTTGCATCTTACAAGAAAATAAAGAACTAATAACTAGGGTCTACAATTCCAATATTTCATGTGATCTTGCCAATTATGAGTTTGGGCAAGAATTTAGTCTGAGAGAATAGAGGAGGTACAAAAGATACAGAACAGTTCTGTGGTGAAGGAACACAGCTCAGGATAGGCATTTTTTTCCTCTGATTGTATATTTGGGGAATCACCTAATCTTTGTGCTTAGCTGCCATTCCCTCACTGTGGAGAGATTTAACCTCTATAACTGCCAGGCTAAAAGAAAAAGTATGTATTATTTAGTTATCAGTGAGTATCTGGAAATGATGAAGAGATCTTCAGACATATTTAATGAGTATCTTGGAAATACCACAACTACCTAGCCAAATTTAAACTGATTTTTTTTTTTTTAATCATTGCTTCTCTCCTGCCCTTGTAAAAAAAAAAAAAGAATATAAAAATATTCTAAATGTAAGCAAGTTCAGATCAATACAATTTATCACATTACACTTAAATTTTAAAAACACCTTCTAAAGCACCAGGATTGAAAGAAGAACTTAAGGTTTCAACACCCTTTCATTGCTTGGCAGAAGAATATGGAGGCTTTTTTTCTTGGCCTTCATACATACATTTCACTATTCTTACCAGAGCTTTCTGGATAAAATCTTTATAAAGATTTTATCATGAACTTGGAGCTTAAATACCAAAACCAGTTCTTGTTCCTCTATCTCTAC